TCCCTGCAGAATATTATTAGATCTCACAAGGTTTTGTGATGGTGCCATTATATTATTCAAGGTGCAATGGGATTCGACTATTACCTGAAAAGCTGTCCCAGTGAGGGGGGGGGCAGCACTTCTGTATTTTTTTCTCTTTTACAAACAAATAGAGCATAAGAGTTCAGCATAACCTTTCTTTTATACTAAAAGTGATTATTAATATTCTGGGTCTGTTTTTTATTTAAATCACTGTAAATTTCCTCCAGAAAAGTACTAGCAGCTACCATGTACTTTGGCAGGAATCCTCTCTCACTGACATATTTCAGCTATCAACATGCAACTACTGGGTTTAGGATGCAGCCATGAGGGTTGCCAATGAAAATCATGTATTCTGGAAACAATTTTAGTTATCAGTTGGTTCACACATAGGGATGCCAACATGGCTTGTGCCTTCTCCCACTTTTGCTTTATTTATAGAGGCGATATTCTGAAGAACTTGAAAGCTTGCATGCAATTTTGTAACTTTTCAGTTGGCCTGAGAAAGGTACTCTTGCTGTAATGCCAATCCCTGTCCCAGACTTATTTGGAACTGTGTTATCTCCTTCTTCCAGAGTATGGCACTGTGCATCAGTGCAATGCTTCATCCACCAGCAACAGGCCAAGTTAAATATTGTATGAGTCTATTTGTACCTATCTAAACTTTCTATTGATTTTGTTAAAAAAAAAACCAAGCAATTACTTTACTTTGACAAAGATGGCTATCCTTAGGGGACTGTTATAAATACCTATGCATAAATAAAACCAAGAGAAGACAAGATTTTTCAGAAGTTGGTGTAGCAGGGAACATAAATATGGGCTTTTATTAAGACATGCAAACTTCCATGTCAGCCATAGGAATATGGCTATGTCATTACATAGGATTCTGGGATTTCTCTATACAAAAATATATGAATCAGGGAATTACAAAAAGTTTAATGATACAGATACTATTATACAGTATCTTTCCAATGAGAACAGGACAGCCGCAGGATCTTCTTTACTCCCACCAAACATTTGAAATTAAACATGTTTCATCAGGAACACGCACAGAATATTTGATATTGAAGGAGATGATTAAATATATATATATATATCATCTGTTCACTGAGTCATGGAAGAAGGACTGGATGAGTATTAAAGTCTGCCCATTTTAAGTAAATTTCTATAATGGAGCAAATTCAAAGAACTGCTTTTATGCTGGTCCGTGCCTCATCAGTGTCCCAATTAATCAGTATCCCAGTGAACCAGTGGTGGGTTGCTCCCGGTTCGACCCAGTTTGGGTGAACTGGTAATGGTGGTGGTGGGAGGCTCCGCCCACCTGCCCAGAAGTCATAAAAAAACAATCTGCCCATGCGCAGAAGCAACGCGGGCTCACAAAGCGAGCACGAGCACCCACGCGCTACCAATAGCGAACCGGTAGCGCCGGGTTTTCAAACCCACTACTGCAGTGAATATCTTATTCATTCCAGGTACCTATGACTATTCAGAGAAGCAGGATCTCTCTGGAACTTTTTCTCAGTGACAGATGTCAAATGGGACAATTCATCTTTGGTAAGTAGCTGCATGAAGGAGTTACTATAGTTGCATTGGCCTCAAAGAGTCATGAGTTTGGGGTTAAAGTTAACCTCTTCAGGGTTAACTGGATGGGTCAGTCAGCTCTGTTTGGGAATTCCCATAGCAACTTTATCACTAATAAGGATCCATGTTCTTGTAAAGGGCTTTATACCTATAGAGCAATATTCCAACCCACCACTTTTTCTATAGATTAAAACAGTGGAGAAAATTTCATGACCTGTTCTTAATGCCTAAGAAATATGACTTTTCTTTGCATTATTATTTAATTTATGTAACTATGCATGTTCATTGATCAAGGAAAGTCCTTTACAAACATGCAAATCATTCTGTTTGTATTTTAAATACATATGGGTGTTAGCTTTTAAAATGCAAGTTGTCCTGATATAGAGCCATGGTGTTGCAGTGATTACAATGCAGTATTGCAGGCTAACTCTGCTCATACTGCCAGGAGTTCAATTCCTTCGATCCTGCCTGGCTCAAGGTTGATTCAGCCTTCCATCCTTCCGAGATCGGTAAAATGAGAACCCAGATTGTTGGGGGCAATATGATGACTCTGTAAACCACTTAGAGAGGGCTGTAAAGCACTATGAAGTAGTATATAAGTTTAAGTGCTATTGCTATATTAATTTTCTTCTTAAACACACTGGTACCAGTTGCATGAAAACGTTGAGCAGCATACTGTTTTTCAGTGCCTTTTCAATGTATTTCTACGGGAGAAACAAAAATATTACTAGACTCTCTTCTATGTTAACATTTTCCCATTCTTTCCCTTGGGCTCAAATTCCACAGAAAAAGTGTTTGTCTTTGAACCTCATAAATTTGCTTTCCATGAAAATTGTATCAAAAAGGAAAAATAAAAAACTTTTAAGTTCATTTACTGCTTGAAGGTCAGGTTTACCTCTACTTTATATGCAAATCTCTTGACATCATTTTCTTTTCAGCTGCCTTCTTTATATTTTGATAAATAGATATTTTCTGACTGAGCATATCCATAATGGCAGCCATTGTGAACTATTTTGTTAAGATATGTTCTCAAAATTACAAATTTGTAATTTGGGGCTATGTAATGTATTGCTTTGGAGGCATGCTATTCAGGAATTGCCTCTGTGTGCTTCAAAGCTTGTCACCACTCCACTGCTTTTTATAGCTGAGGAAGTTGGGCAGTATAAATCATGAACTGACATAGCTACCCAATTTATCTATCAAAGCTAGAACTGATATCTTCTGGGTCTAAGCTATGGGAGAGTGGGAGGAATGAGTAGATGGTTTAAATTATACTAATTGAAACTAACAGCAGAAATGGCTTGTTCAACACACCTGAGCATGAAATAGCGGAACTGACTGAACAGATGCACAAATATTTGGATGAACATCTACATGTTTATATCTTTACTGACAATCTGGAACTGCTCACTGGACTTGTGAAAGCAAGATTTATTTCCAGCTGACAGAATGACGAGCTTGAATAGAAGAACTGGTTGTTTGGGTTTGAAGGAAGAGTTCCATGTGATTGTTCACTAACCAGATCTCTGTTTAAGAAGCAGAGAGGAAATATACACTCTGATCAAAACCTACAAAGCTGTCCTAGAGATTTGATCATATTAAAACAGTATCTTTTGATGGATAAAAGGAACAGTAACAATAATCACATGATAGCAGTTCAGGCTAGTAGGGACAAATCTTAAGAAAAAGTTCAATTTTTTCTAACAAGATAGTACACAAAACCATCAACAAAACCAACAATAAAAAAAAAATTCCCTTTGTCAACAATTTAAAACATTTTCAAATATTTTTTCAGTTATTTTAAAGACATATGACCCATTTCTGATTGGGCCTAGCAATGCTGAATTGTTGGCAACTGTTAATTTTCCACAGTGCCCATTTAGTGACTAAACTAATTGGCATTTTGGCTTCTTACTGTATAGTGGGAAGGTTTTTTCAATAATCATACTAGAAGTATTATTTGTAGAATTCTGGCAATTCTGTAGAATTGCTACCTTATCCCAGAGATGTCCAGTCTGGTGTTTTGATCATTTCTCAATATAGGAAATCATTTCAGCTGAAAACACAAATGTATTTTATACTTAACATTGTCCTATAGGTAACCTGCCATCACTTAGATGATCAGCTATAGCATCATCCAAAGAAGCATGCTAGTGTAAGCAAAGTTCAGATGTTTGCATCTATATCTTCCTGCTTTTGCTTTATCTCAGGAATATGTAACCTGTGAACTACGCACAGTTCCATCACTTTATGGGTAAGTCTTAAAGGAATCACCAAAATTTGGATGAAAAAGTCAGATTTCAATAGTTTTAACTTAAAATAAAAAAAAAAAACAGAATATGAGTGGAAGCAGAAATGTAATACTACTAAATAGTGAAATGATTTGGTCCCTCTCTCAAATCCCCCGAGTCATTAAAACTGACCAAAATGTAGAAAGGTTTTTCAAACAGAAAGATTCATCACCCTTTTTGGTGATGTCCCAGCACTCTCCCATTTAGAAAAGTGTCATTCTCAAAGAGAAAAAAGTTGTGCATTACTGTTTTAGTTCATAAAAAAACTTGATAGCTATGCTCAGTGCCAATCCAGTGCTTGCATTATACTCTCTTCTTACATGAAATTAAATGAATTTCATTACTTTTTCTGCCATCTTTGGGAGTAGTAGTAGCAGAAGATCTAAGTGAACTTTTTAAAAAATAGAATGTTCTATGATAATTCTGAGAACATCTTACTTTGTGATTATATTCAATTTTAATATTTCAATGTATTTGGGTTACTTATATGAGCTTTAAAGAGCCAGTTTGAGGTAATTTCTCTGGAGTTGCGATTAAGATATCAGGATAGAAACTGAGAGACTGTAAAATCTAGTCTTGCATAAACCATTAAATCAGCTCAGTGGCTTTGAATCAGTCACTCTCTCTCAGCCCTAGGAAGAAAGCAATGGTAAACCACTTCTGAAAGTTTTTCCAAGAAAACTACAAGGACTGGTTTAACCTGTCGCCAGGAGTCAATAAGGAATTGAAGGCTAAAAATTGCCATTGAAACTTAAAAGTCCTATTGGCATGTTAACTATCTTAAAGATGAATGTTGCTTAACCTTTTTTTGTAATTAAGCTCTTACTTCAAGTTAATGAATTATACAGATGTTGGAGAGTATGTGCATGATACTGTACAATCCTCACAATTATAATATTTAGTGTGTCTAAAGCACACAATCTGTGTGCTTCAGTTGCAGCATGTTATGCCATTATTATGGTTGGTCACACAATCAATCAGGTGTTTAGCCTAGATTTGGCATTTTTGTCCACCTGAGTCCTTCCCAAGTACCTGGAATAAGCAGATGTTTTTGTTTAATAATATTAAAAGTATCATCACTAGATGTAAACTGTTCCAAGTAAAGCTGCCTTTTGCAATTGATGTTGATTTTGTCAATGGAAATAAAATTTGAATGCTGGTCCAAATGTTTTGGAATTATACCGTAGGTACTTATTACTGTACTATCTTTGCTTTCTTATGCCCTGGGGATGGGGACGGGGAGGAAAACCAGATGCTCATTGCAGAATCTGCAAAATTTTGGACAGATAGCTATTCAGTCTCTCTCAGAAGACCTCCAGTGAAGAGGAATATATGACTTCATGAAGCAATCTATTTCTGTGGTTGAAAGCTCTTAGTATCTGTTCCTTCCTCGTAATAGCTACCTGAATCTACTTTCTTATAGTATCATCCCATTGGTTCTGGTTTTCTCCTCTGGGGCAATAGAGAACAAGTCCAGTTACCTTTTGGAAAAGCACCTTTGCGACAACCATGACCTTGATAAATGAGAATCTCCATAGACGAAATCCACTCTTTCTTTTGTGTAATAGCTGTTTTAGATAACTTGAAAGGAGTTGTTATGTTTCCTCAGTCTACAGTGGTGCAGATTAAACATACCAGTTGTTTTAATTGTTTCTTCATTGGACTTAGTTTTCAGATCTTTCATATCTTGGTAGCCTTCCTTTGGATCTGCTCCAATTTATTGATGTCCTTTTGGAATTGTAGTGTCCATACTGTCCTAAGTGGGGCCTGAACAAGACAGGGTAGGATAGTTACTTTCCAATTTATGGATTCTTTGCTCCCGTTAACACATTCTCAAACAGCATTTGTCTTTTCAGCATCTGCATCACTTTGCTAGTTTATTTTCAACTTGTGATCTGCTAGAACACTTAAATCCTTTCACAGATACTACTGAAATTTCTAATACAGTAATGCATTACTCTATTACTTGTCTCCCCAATCCTATATTAGTGCCTTTCATTTTTTCTCTCTGATTTTACAATACCTATTAAATTTCACTGTTTGTTTCAGCACGCTATTCAAGACAGTTTAGTGTTAGCCATGAATTTTAGTTTTGTACCTTCTGCATATTTAATAATCATCCTCTCTCTCAACCCCCTTCATCAAGATAATTAAGAAAATATTGAAAAGAATAGGGCCCAAAATAGACCCCTATTGCACCACATTACAGGGACCTCCATTATGCCAATTGTAAAAATCACAATTGTATCATTTAGCCTGTATATTACCATGTTAATAATAAGCATATCATGAGAGATTTTGTCGAAGGCTTGACTGAGATCAACGTACATTATGTCCAAAGCACTTCCCCAACCTATTAAACTAATATATTTGTTCAAACCAAAAATATATTTGGAAGAAATAAAGGTCGCCTAGCATGGCCTCTTCGTGACAAATTCATGCTGGCTTTTGCTGATTTTTATTCCTATTCAAATGCTGATAAACATGCTGTTTAATAATCTGCACAAGGAGCTTGCCCAGTATGGACTGCATGTAATTTCCCAAGTCCTCTTTCTCTTGGTTGAAGATAGGAACTTAATTTGTTCTTTTTTACTCTTCTAGGACATCATTAGTTTTCCAGGAGTTCTTAAGTATTCTGTGATTATTACACTAATCCTTTCAATATCCTAGGACATAATTCATTTGGCCCTGGATTCATTTACATTTGTTCTTTTACTTTTCAAGCCCCTGTAATAACGCAATAATGTTGAAAGGCTCATATTATAGTTTTCTAATTCTGCCTACACTTTTTTTTTCACTTGATCATGTATTCAACAGAGCAATTGAACTTTAATACCTCCAGTGATAAAATTGAAAGTCAGGAAAGTTAATACCAGACAACTTGGAGAGCATATACAGTATATATGCATTTAAATAACAACAATAACAATGCTGATGTCCTGCAACTCTATCCTGATTAAAAATTCTACAGTCCTAAAATTGTATGCAAAACTGAGATGTTGAAAAAACTTCCTGGAAGAAGACAATGAAAAAAAACTTTAATACTATAGCTGACAAGTCTGGTTACCACTTTTCTGATTAGAAAATTTTATTTAAAATGTTTGCACTCTGCTCCTACAATATGTAACAAAGAAAAGCAGATAGTTATAACCCTGTAAATTGAACTTGATTAAATAAATTTACCTTTATCATAAAACATTATCCAGTTGTGTCTGGACTTTTTTTCTTATGGACTAATATGACTATTTTTTTAAAGTATAGCTAGCTCTCCTATGCCCCACCTCTCATTAAAAGAAAATCAATTAAAATAGCTTGCACAATTAAAAGGATGCAATCCATTTAACCAAGAAACTGACAATCAGGAACAGTTTGTCCACGAAAGCTTTCAAATAATGACCTTATTTCATTCCAGCAAATCAAAGGCTTTTTGAAAAGGAAAGACTTGGCAAATCTTATAAAGCTTGCAATAGAGCAGGCCAGATGAGCTTCTCCTGGGAGGAAGTTTTTAGAACCAGCAAGAGAAAACTGTAGTAAAGGGCTCTGACTTTTATCTTGTACTGGGGAGGAAAAATATACCCTTGAGTACTGTCCCACATTGAGAGGCCAGGCGAGGCCTCTGTTTTTCAGGAAACAATCAGGCTTACATGCCTGCCTAGGTCAAAAAGCTTTTCCCCCACCATATGTATACTGAACAATACTTAACATTTATTTATATTTGAAATGAAGATGAAATGACCATCAGTTATTTTGGCTAATGCATATTCCACTGGGATTGCAATTGTGCTGCTAGCACCCAACCCCCTCATCTCCCACCCCCAAAACATAGGACTTGCTTCCCAGTAAATTGGTAGTAATTGAACAAGCCTGTGCATCTTTTTATGGAATGTTAAGATGCAATGGTTTTTGAGGGGCTTGCTTCTTCAGAAATTTGCAACAGATTGGAGCTATACCATTTGTTTGCTGTTAAAATGGTTAAAATGTAAACATGAAATAAATCAATAGGTAGGAATTAACACAAGGGTTATAGAAAAAGAAATCTAAGAATTTATTTCCAACAGTTTTACATTTGATCAATTTCTGATTAATATGTTAAAAACAGAGACAATTTAATCCACAAAATTTGAATTGTTCAGTAATTCAAATTTAAACATTATTTACAACTTTTTTCCCCAAAAAATAATTTGACTTTAGTATATTTAGATAAGATTCCTATTGATTTCTGGAAATCCATTTTAAATTGTTTATGTATTTACCATCTATTTTTTTGTGATCTTGCCCTATTGCATACATATAAATACTCACAAACAAATCCTGAATTTGACCTAATCCTGAAATAAATTGCTTGTTAATCAATCTCCTTTCAAAAAGTCTTGTGAAGGAGAATTTCCTGCTCAACGTCACAAATACCATAGCTAATGAAAATGATGGATGTATTATCTCAGCAGACTTCATTGAACAAAATGGCAATATAAACCACCACTCTTAGCCCTTCTATGTTTTGATTTTAGCAGGCTTTGGCCTGACAAAGAGATTTTTCATAGAGTTTCTTCACCTTCTTCTGCAGGGCCGAGCCATGTATCCTTCTTTACCAAAGACAGCTTTATCTTCTTGAAGCCTAAGAGATCTTTTTTAATTATTTATGGTGTCACTGGAATGGCTTGATAGCTCCAGTTTTGCTCCCATCTCCATAATGTTGATTTGTCTCATCCCCAGGTTATGCTTTGATGTGATGGTATTTGGGAAAGACCTTAGGGAGACTGAGTGAAGAGACACCGCAAAGGAAATGATTAGATAAGAGACAGCATATCCTATAGCTAGATAGTGAATGGATGGGGCAAAAAATTCAGAGACCATCCCTACCTTCTGGATGGAGATGGAGGAGAGGAGAAAATTGTATTTCCATACTTGCAAGATTCTGCCAGTTAGCTTTACAATAAAGTAGAATTAGCTCATCTGGTTGTGTTTCTTATCTAGTTTACCCTTGCAGCCAATATTAATATTGCAAATATCTTAATACAATTCTTCCCTCCATCTCCCACCACTTCTACTTTACAGCCCAAGAAACTAGAGAGAGTCTCTTCTGAGCCTCTTGCCTCAACCAGTATATTGCTGCAGGATGTACTAGCTGTAATCTGTTAACTTCATGGGTTTCTTCACCCAGTCTTCACCTGTTATGCTAGAAGGATGCTATTGGCTTTACTAAAGGGCTGGCTTCTGCTAAGGTTAACTATTGAAGAAAGCTCCATGTTTTGTTTACAGATTACAAAATATCTATCCTATTAGCATAAATGAAATAAGCATGCAAAAGAAGGAATTGAACATCATCATTCCTGTTTTATGTTATTGAATTCTTTTTATCCATATCCATTGATTCCTAATTCAAGTCCAATTTTGGAAATTAGCTGGATCAGAAACAGAATTGATGTATGCAGTAGAGAGCTTTAATGATAAACAAGTGTTTGAGGGTGGTTGTTGTTTTTAAATGTGTCTGTTTGTATAAGGACTGATGTTGGTGAGGTGGGAACCAGAAGTGCTTAGACCAAACATTTGATCAAGTGCATTCCAGACCACAGACTGGAGGGACGGCAGGGACCCAGAAAGCTATTGACCTAAAAAGACAGGACTGAAATCCTGAACTTCAAACACCCCCCCCCACACACACACACACGCACACACAGAAAAAAAAATCACACAATTTGATTTCTGGATTCTATATCTGGAAGATCTGCCTTCTACTCTGCAATACAACAATTTATTGAGTAATATCAAGGCCTTGAGGTTTCTGCTGTTATCTAACCACGGGATTGAGTTTCTGGAAGAAAAGAGATTTATTGCCCTTCCTGCCCTGAATTCTGACAATATGTGCAGCCATAAACCAATTTAAAACATTAATAGCAAAAGCATGGAGATTCTGTAACAAACCCAAGTGCATTTTACTCCATAATTCAGCTTGACATTGCCAAGTTATCTGTTTTTGCAATTTCATGAACTGACCTTATCAGAAGAGTTACAAGGTTCACAGGGAGGGAAGGAAGGAAGGAAGGAAGGAAGGAAGGAAGGAAGGAAGGAAGGAAGGAAGGAAGGAAGGAAGGAAGGGCTTCAACTACTAATGTTATGAGGACAAAATTTTGGAAGCATGTTTGCTAGTTGGAATACATCAATATTCCTCTTTTTTACTGATTCCTGTTAACAGCTTAACACTTCTTCCTCTCTAGACCATACTTTGGTGGGGAGGCGGGAGACAGAATTTTATGCTTTTAATGCAATTTTGCAAGATGTGAGTAATTCTATCTTGCACCTATGTTCAGAAACTGTATAGTCTTTCATTCCAGCACAAGCAGATTTTTAAAAAAATATGTTAGCAAGTATCATCCTGATCCTCTTAATTCTGAATGAGGTAAATGGGGCAGAACATTTCTTCCCCCTCCCCCAAACTTTGCAAATGTCTGACTTCTATTAACGTCAAAGAATCCACTCTGGTTTCTATTACAGCCCTTGATTCTCAACCCTATAATTTCTGCTAATGTCCCCCTGCCACCTCCCATTTCACTTGTTAATCCTTTTTTGGTTAAAGGTTTCCTCCCTTGCTTTTTTTTTTTTATACACAGTGTCCTTTCAACAGGATATCTCAGTCTGAAGAATGACAGACCAAAGGAGCAACAAATGTGCCATAACTTTGATTTTTTACAAGGAGCCAACACAACCCAAAGCAACAATGCTTACAAAACGTGATTCATCAAAAGGGTAGAAAGAGAGCAAAAGCACTC